ATTGGTATACACACACAGACGCATACATGCACACAAATAGAAAAAAATGAAACATCAAAGAGAAGCCTTTGTCAGCGACCGTATGGAAAAAATATTTCAGCGCATCCAGGCCCTACTGTTTACGCGAGTACTGTTTATGCGTGCGTGTATGTGTGCGACTAGAAAATTTATGAGCTTCCAAGCATGTGTTGTGACGTGCGCACCAGCGCAGTAGCAGCAGCACAGTACGGTGCGGCGCGCAGTCTCCAGTCTAAATCCTAAAGTGCACTTTAGCCAAAAGTATTCTTCCACTCGCCTATATGCCCATTTATGTGAGCATACACATACATATACTGGGCGCGTTACACAGACACGCGCGCAGATGCAGTTGGAAAAGTTTGCGAATCTCGAAGGGAAAAAGATGCGAGTATATATAGGTTTAAACGAGAGAAGAAAAACTGGACGCGCCTCAATAGCGGCCGAGCGCTGAAATTTTTTTAATAAGAACAGGCTTGTGACTCTCGCATGTTTTTCATCCACAACGCAGACGATGCCATGCCCGGGTGTACTTGCTGCAGAAGCAGCACACGCGCGACCCCCCGTACACGACACGATTTCCTGCTCGCGTATTATGATACAAAAGGCTTATATCCAGCAAAGACTCTCTACAGTGACAGGGGTAGAGAGAAAAAGAGGGGGAAGGGGGGATAAAAACGAGAAAATACCAGCTCGAAAGATACGGTGGTGGTGGTGGTGGTGGTGGTACCGATTTTGCTTAGGCTCCGAGCGAAACAGCAGCGCAACAGACGGGCCAACTACATCGTTTGATTCATAATATAAGCAGGCATGAGCACAATACGCTGAGCCACGCTGCTGCTGACCTTTACACCAGCAGACCTACAGCAGCAGCTCTATTTTTACCGCACCGTACACGACCCTTTGAAGTTGCTCGTCGTCGTTTAGTAAAAGAGAGAAAGAGAGAGAGAGACAGTGTTAGTAGGAAAGAGATTACAAACACACACGCAGAGACAGAGAGACAGACAGACAGACGGAAAGAGCTCGCCCGAGATATAAGAAGAGCGAATGCGAGGCCACTTGCTTCCAGACCGTTGCGTGTACGATCTTGCTGCCTTCTACTACCAAAGTGTATAATATATCTGCCACTGCACGCTGTGCAGTACTGTGTACGAATATCATCCCTTCTTCGCTCTGACTCTTGTTCTGAACTGAAGACAAGGAAAAAGTAGCAGCAGCAGTAGTCCCGGGCTTGCTGAGAATTCATTACCATGCGATCGAGTACTATTGTAATAGTACGTCGAGACAAGAAACGGACACTCAAGGATTTAATTTGATCGATCGTAGATGTTATTTTCATTTGCCTATGTGTCCAATATCTTACGTGATTAAGCCAGGGATACTCGACGGTTAAGCTGCTGCTGCTGCTGTACTTTTCGAGTGGCCGGTCTTTTTTGTACTACTCCCTTGCGCGCCTTTGTATATCAGTTGTTCCACTTCAATAGTGCCTATCACTGCTTTACCATGCTGATGAGATAATGCGAACGAATGTTCAGTTACTACTTTTTGCGATTAAATGATTCAGATGGGCTTTTTTTCTTTACAATTAACGAAGATAAATGTCGTAAGCGTAAGATCATGCCGAAGAGAAGATAATGATAACAATTGACCGAATTGTATATGGGAAAAACAATAAACGAGTGGAAATGAAGGAAAAAGTCAATTTAATCTTGATGTACGATAAGCTTGACGAGTGCACGGTGCGAATGGCTAATCTGATATATGGATCAAGTACTCGCTGATTGTAAATTAGCCAAACGTCCGATCGATGAACTTTAGATTAAACGACAACATTGATTCGTGGCTCGTTTGTCAGTCGCAGTCACAGTCTATTTGTAAATCACTGCGTATGACTACATACAACGCACACAGATCACCCACACAAACACACTTTTACGCAGTTGCATTGACTATACCATACTCACCACATCGAAAGCTGTGAAGCTTTTAAAAACGTCGCTGCTGTGGTATCGTAAAAAAAGGTTGAATATTGGAGAAACGGCCAACTTGCTAGGCCAATTATAACAGCGATGCTATTGAAGTGCTATTATTTTTACTCCCTTGCCATATTCACGCACTGCGATTCGACTTGCTTTTTTATTTTGTTCTTATTATTTTTCTTTGTAACATGTCTTGGTCTTTTTTATTCTGTGAGCGTGTTGTAAAAAGTATATTGTTTCATCGCAATTCCACATGTGCGTAGATAATGAGACATCGAGAAACTCGAGTTTACAGGTGACTCTTTTTTCTTTCTCCTTTGTTTTTTTCATCAAGCGTTCATATTCGCGACGTATCACATTTTACCTGGAAGGATATTTTCACAGGCGAGGTCGGTCTTGTTAGTTTTTCAAGTTGTATATATCCTCGGCCTGAATGCTTTATTCAGCTAATCATTAGAGAAAAGTGCAAGGAAAAATGTCACACACTGAATGTATAAAAATAAAAAAAAAATAGGAGAAAAGTGGGAATCAGAGACGCGTAAAAATGAAGGAATCAACTGTCCAGTAGTAGCGAGCGAGTGAGCGCGCGTAATTGAGAAGGAGCAGAAAATGGAGACTTTTTATAGATACCCGCCGCGAGAGAAGGCGCAGCAGCTCGTAAGTGCACTTAGCTCAAGTGTGACATGAACAGCATCGAGCACAATAGGGTAACACATAACAAAGGCTGCATTTACTCTAAATTTTTTAGACAAGTTCCGAATTATCATCGTTTTCTGAACATCAGAGTGGCTGCCATCTTATATATTTGAACGAAAAAAAATTTCTCTCAAATTTATTCACCCCCGCCGCCTTATCCCCCGTCATACAGATAGTCGTTAAAATTAAATTCACAAATATCGGGAAAAGCAATAGAGCAATTCAAAAATGCCTCGGATATTTGTATGTCTGCACGCACGTAACGGAGTATAACTACACTCCAACTGCTGATCTACAGCTGAAGTGTACCTCAGCGCAGTATACGCGAGAGTATGTTGTGCAGGCAAAATCTTGTGCGAAACCAAAGTACATCCACTTAAGCCCTTTATAGCGCGTTGCGGGGGATATATATCTGCCGAGTTTTGCTCTCTTCCTCTCTCTCTCTCTCTCTCTCTGCCTCTTGTTGAGCGGCTCGTTATTCATTATATACTTGCGTATATACAGCTTTCAGCTTTAGGAGAAAGTGTACGGGACCTCTGGTCGTTGAGTCTCTGTACGTAAGCTCGTCGTGTGCTCATATATACCTTTGTGTTAATCTCTTTCTTATCCCCTCTCACAATCTTTTAACGTTGTTCTTTACAAAGCGTGCATCGTGTGTACACATCTTTGTCTTACATGGCTGCGGCTTCGTACTTATCTGCGGCGTGATTTATTTTTCTTTAATATTGGATAACACGTAAATGACCCAATCGATTTTTTCTTGAATACTTTTATTTTTTATTTGCCCTCGCCCACACACGTGTCTCGTAATTCCTCGATATTTTTTTTAAAACGAAATCTATTGAAAATATCAGATATGATTCTCATCCAATAATTAGGTGATCGGTCCAAACCTGTGAATATTTTCTTGGTTTTTATCGGGTATGACAAGCTCCACCATCGTAATAAAAAGAGTCAAGTCAATAAAAATATGAAGGTTCGATTCTACTATCACCTCCTGCAATAAAAATTGTAGCTGTTGCTGTGTAACAATAGTAGAGCTGTAACGTTGCATAAAAAACAGAAACTTCTCTCGAAGCCAACGGTTCGCAGAGATGATGAGTCTTAAATAGCTAGTCTCCGCTGAAAGTTTTGCAAGCTTTATATACCATTTGAGTGTGGGTATTATGACAGTCATCAAAAACTGTCCAATAAGCCAAAGTTCAGATGTATTCGTTGCTGCGTAATAAAGAGGCTCGTTCATCGGAGGCTATATTAAATTCCATGGCCTAGCAAAGTTTCTTTAACGCCCGACGCATGAATAGGGGAGGATAAGGGGGGAAGCGGCGCGCGGCAGTCCAGCAGGTATCAAGGGGAACGATGCTCGCTGCAGTGCAGTCTGCTATGGCAGTAATATATTTTCTCTCACAATAAATGAAAGCATTCGGGCATTAATATACACGCGCTGTGGATTTTATCTCGGTGACTTCTGCCCCGGCGAATCAAACTATATACTCATAGTGTAACTTGGAATTATTGCAGCGCGTTCATAAGTCCGAAATACTATTCAACTCGATCGAGTACAGTTCTCCTCGGATTATGATGCCGGAAATGACCATAGGCGAAAGCATTATGTAACTGAAACTGACTTGTCGAAGCGCAGAATAGTAGCGTCGATATCCTTGGGTGTTGTTATCTTATACTCGGAGAGAGGCACAGGGCGTGACAGATATAGGTATTGTTGGAACTAATTGATCTTTGATAGGCAAAATATTGCCACCTCGCTTGAGACTTAGCACTGTAGCAGCTTCGATGCGTAACGTGACTCGGCTCGACTCGGGTCTTTGTAAACTCACGTGTACTCGCTCTCGAGCGGGCAGCAACTTTATCTCCCTCGTGAAATTATTCCTCTTTCCCGTCGTCGCCGTTGGTAGACATTACGTAAAACCAAGTCAAACACGCTTAAGGTGAGAAACTCCTCTGAGCTCTGTGATCTCATGCCAGAGCGAATGCGTTATCGAGCTTATCCACTTGTTAAGATGCTCCAAACGGCCTGCAGTTACATATAAATAGTATTATTCGTTGCTTTTCAAAGTCCAAAACACTTGATGACGTCCACGTTGTATGCGTGATTATCAGCTCATAATTGATTGAATCATTTAAATGCTTGAGTGATATATGCGACATTGTTGAAACTGGTCATTGGAGAGCAATCATAATTGCGAGCAGGTCTTTGAACTTTGGTAATGGCCAAAAATTGCAAACGCGATGCTGAGCAGCTAAATGGGAACAAGAGCAAAAATAAACTCTAAATTTTATTTCGATACTTACCGACAACGTCAAGGTAACCTATTTGACTCTTCATCGGATCAGTATTTATTTGACACATATACCAGCCGCGATCGGTCTCTTTAACTTCTTTTATATGCAAAAACCACGTCCGATGCTCGCTGTGGGTCACGCCAATTCGATGATTCTTTGTTATTACGTGATTCGCGATTGTCAATATTGTTTGCGTATCGACCCGAAGCCATGCGACCTGCAACATAAAAAAATTCCATTTCATCATTCTATTTTTATTGAAGAAAATTTAAATTGAATACCAATTTTTGTCAAGTATATTACTGATGTACATCAAAATCCGAATGATCAAAAATCGTGCTCCAAATTGAATTCTGATTTTACGAATTTGTTGGGTACTTTATTAAGACTTAATTCAATATCCTAAAATAACTAATATGTTGCTCACAAAAAGTAGGAAAATTCACCAATTTTATTGATTAGATTTTAATTTAGACATATTCGAGAATGCATATGTGTGTGAATGAAATTGTTACGTTTAAACTGATCGATCTGCACGTGCATTTGATATTTAATTATCCGAATCAGTATACTGAAAAGTAATTTTGTAATTAGTGTCTCATTTAAAATGACCAATAATTAGACTTGGCCATGAATAGTATGGTATCCGCAAAATAGAATAGGAATTAAAAATTCAGTTTTTACAAAACCTGTGACAAAGGGCAAAGGAAAAAACTTCCGCAACTTATAGCTATTTCGGTGTTCAGTTCTGCAAAATGCTACTTCGGAGCCCCAAATAATAAAAAAATTTAAATCATAACTTGGCCATAGATTACGATATACAAACATAATTTAAACTATTCACGCTTTAAACTTTAAAGAATAAAATTCGCACCCCTAAAGAGTAATGTTCGTTTGAAATTTGTTCCGATGAAGCGCTAGGATTCCGGTTGAGAACGCAGATTACTCTTCTTCAAAAAAAGTAATCTGAAGTGTAATGTTTACAGATAACACCTTTGAATCTTTATCTTATTATAATAACATTTCCAGTACACACCTCTTTAGAAGTCTGAATTTAACTCTTTGTAGCTCCATTAATGCCGAGAGGACACGATTTTAACATTCAATTTTTCGCTCTTACCAAGTCTCAATACCCTGGTAGAAAATTAAGCAGTCGTACTGGTTAATTTTAGTCAGCTAGCTATAAACTGGCCAGTTGTGACTGGTCAAAAACTGCTCAACTGTAATAGGGTTTCGAGCCATTGCCAATGGTTAAAAACGGCTTAACTGCGTGCGGTCTGGTGCCTATTGCCCGATCAATTATTGCGGTATTTTTTATGTCGGATTATAAATTAAATCTGCCTTAAATTTAAAAATATTTTTGAACAGTGTAGACATTGGCCACTTCTTCGTGTCAGAAGACGAGATAGAGGATTGGAATGAATTAAATATTTAATTCAATATTTCGTAGAAACAGAGCTTATTTAAAATCCAATACATTGATGTCAACGAATATGCCTCATAAGCAAAATTTGTGAGACAAGATATTCTATTCATTGGCGGATAAATGTAATAAAGTTGCCGCGTAGTCTATTTGAAGGGCGATGCGAATTTCATCAAAGTTTAGTAAAGATGATGCATATTAAGAAGATATTTCTTCTAAAATAAGATAAGACGCTAATCCTTCATTCATACCAGACGCGATACGTTACAGAATCAAGTCCTTTTTAGGCGATAATATTACTTAAATGTAAATTTAAATTAAAGTTTTGTAGAAATTTTCTCCCTACTAGACTGCTCGCACAGTAACAACGGAAGTAAAATTTAATGGTAAGCGAATTATATACTTGCACGACGTTTTAATGAAATACATGCATATTCGTGTCGCGTACGAGCAATAAAATGTTCATGCAAGAATCAATGCAAGTGCATTCGATTTAATATCTTTCTTGAATTATGAAACACTTCAAGGTGTAGCAAAGTGCTGCAGACACCGGAATCGCTATTACTTTTGCGTAACTCGTAAATTTTTCGCATCGTCTGCAAGAATTAAAATGGAAAATGGCTCTTCATCCGCAGTGTGTTGCCGAAACGTAAAGAGCGATAACACTAGTCATTCCCTGAAATATAAATGAAGTAATTGAAATTTTCCTTTCGCGCGCCGATCCTTTATGCACGTGTGATGTGATTGTCAAATAAAACTCATATATATTTTTTGATTCTGTTTAACGAAATGGTTTACGAAAAAAGATCTTAAATAAGTCATGAATTGCATGCGTATCATAAAAATACGAGACCATATTTGCATGTTAAATACTTTCGGCTGTATTATTAACATTTTTTTAACGACCGAGTAATAATTTTCTCGCCGTCCTCGTGAAGAATTTTTGTCACTCTATACCCTCGAGCACTCGTCTACGTTATACTCCATCTGTCATATTCGGCGAAAATATTTCAAAATAAGCCATTAGCCTTTTGCTTTCCTTCAAGTTCTTCTTTTTTTGTCAACCTGATAACAAGCCTTTGGGTTTTCATCGACTCCGGAAATGCGTCAGGATTTTACTCTTATTCGAACAATCTTGATGTAATACTTTGGCTCTGTGCGTGCGTGTCAAATTTTGCGAAAACTTCGGGGAAAAGTGACTTTCATATTTCAGTTTGTAGCGGCACAGAAAGAAAAAGAGAGAAATGTACGCGAAACGACGTTTTGTGCGAGTTTCATAGAACCTGTCGCCTTTTAAAAGCGTGAATTTCTATGACGTAGCTGTTATACCACCAGCCTTGTTTCCTTTGGGATGTTTCTAATTGCGAGTCTCGCTGTATTTCTGATAATGCGTCTTTGTGCAATATTGTACATTTTGAAATGCGTACAGAATTACGAAGATCTCTCGATGGGTGCATAAAGCTTAGAATAAAAGGAGTTATGATGAAATTGTAATTTATCATTTAACGACCTGTTTGTCACTTTGCCTCAGCTTAAAAATGAATCTTTCCTATCTTCACCCGATGTGTGAATGAATACTCTGGCGATCACTTTCACGAGCCTATAATGCATTTACGGTCGAAATTATTTTTGCTTGATCGATGACCCTGCCCGAGTTAATCTCTCACTTCGACTCATTCGCAGCACGCGCGGGTGCGGTGTAATGCGGACGTCAGCTACGCGTTTCTGGTTCATATAACTATCATACCCACGCGCGCTCACGTACACACGTGCACACACTCACACGCGAACGGAATAACAGAGCTCTGGGTAGCGGTCGTTATACGTGTGTGTAAAGCTCTATTCGTGTCTCCTCTAGCTCGAGCTTGCTGCCGACATTTCTGCCATCCGTTGAATGTGCACGATCGTTCCCGCTACCGCGCTCGCATCGTAGCAGATTCCTATATACCTTTATACGTGTGTATACGTAGCTACTCGGGAAGATACACGTATATATGCATTTGCGCACCGATACGGTATACAATTACATGTATATAAGCTTCGACAAACAGACTAACTGCATGCACCCATGAGCCAGGCGTTCGCCTGCATCAATCTCTGCGCGTTATACGCAGATCTGCAGCGGAATATTGTGTCTTACTCGTGTGTGCGCACTTGGTAATAATCATGTTGCCGTTTCAAGCGCTAATTCCCCGCTTAATATGATGAATTAAGATGTAAATATGCAAGTGTACGATTTAAATGTTTGCGATTTCCAAAATTATACATGACCCGGTAGAACAATACCTAAATAATACTAATGGCCTAATAACCAAAACATGACTATTAGAAGTGCTTTAAAATCATTAACGGTAATTGGTTTTTTTTGACGATTTTTTATTTATAAATTATTTTTTTAAGTTAAAAATATTAAAGACCCTTTAAATGTTCTGAAAATGACAATTTGATCGTTTACAAAAATTTAAACCAGTTTCCAACCACTTTAAATACTACTTGCGCGGTCGGGCAAGCGGTAGCGCGATGAATAGAGCAGATCAGAAGTACAATCGCAAGAGAGATAATTGTTAGTTATGCTGGATATTTATACATAGTTTTTCATCTTGCGCGAGCCGACTATTCTCGAATTTCTCGTTTAGATCGCTTCTACTGCTCGACTGATGGGGGTAAGCCTCTCCACCGATTTGAATGGCAAGGCGCCACATACGTTTAATTAAATGTTATTTCAAGAAAAACGCGTTTAAAGTTTTTTCCTTGTCGTACAAAGTTCTGTAGAACAATTAAAGATATAGCATTTTAAAATTATTTTTACCCTATAAAATTACTGGGGCATCATTCATGACATCCAAAAGAAACTTTTTATAAAAAAACTAATGAATTTTTTGAAAATCCTATAGAGTGTTGTTACCTCTTAATATTTTTCTGAAAAGCTGAGTGGATATCTACAAAATAACAAAATTACAACATCCATGTAACTTTTTAGGAAAATTATCAGTGGAAATCTAAAAAAATGTGTTCGATAATTTTCATTTTCATTCTAACTTTGGCATCTCCTTAACCAAGTGAATTAAATATTATTATAAACTTTGCGAATTCAATTGTCATAGAGTTGAAATTGAAAGTTTAAATAGTTTATAAGTATCTCTACTCTGTCCTTATTCTCTCGAGAAATCAATCCAATCACGTACAAAGTGCGAGCAAGTGAAAGAAAAAGAGACAAACAGCTATGCAGCTATGAGTTAGTGTATTGTCACTCGCGCACATTTAGTGCGACTAGCACGTGCATCCACAGTTGTGTGAGAATGTGTTTGCGAGTTTGCGTTCGCGTGCATACATAAGCAAGAGAGATAAAGAGAAACCGATCGTCGAATCGAATCAGACATCGTGATTGGACTTCTTGGGCTTTACAGAGGCATTGACTATATAATGGATCAAGCAGCAGAGAGAGAGAGAGAGAGAGAGAGAGAGAGAGAGAAAGCACTCGCTATTCGTCGGAGGGACGTTAACGATGTATTCCGATATATCAAGCTCTGTATGGTAATCTCCTTGTTCCTGTATCCTTGCAAATACGCCACAATTGCGATGCAATTCCTGCTCATCTACGTCGTCTTTCCAATTGTTTTCTGATGCACATTGTCGAGTATGCTGTTAATTTTACTCCTAAGTAGTAAAAATCGAGTTAAGCCCGACGAATTTAAATTGATTAAGTGGAAAGCGAATTAAGTGACCAAATCTTGAAGGTCAATAATAACATTTTATAAGTGAATTTGACCAAAGATCCACCATAAAAATCGAGCGCGGAGATGCACCAGCTTTGAAATTACAGTACGTCGGGACTACCTGGGCGCTTGAGTTTTATTCAGACAGCGTTTCCATGTCGAAAAGCATAAATAAAGTTTTTCCAGTACAAAAGAAGTGGTGAATATGTCCTGGAATACTGTGGTGCGCTGTTTGGAACTTGAGAGCAGGAGAGAAGAAAACTTTTTTATGAAAGCTCGCCCTGCGCACCGTGGTGGCGAGAGAATTCTCGAAATGTTTGAGAGATAAATTTAATGCACTACGAAAAAAACCTTATAAAAATTAATGCGAATACATACGTGTGTATTTATATGCGCACAATTTTTTTCATCCCTTACTTCGCCGAGTGCAATCACACACGAATATTCTCTCTTCAAACTCACTTGCCACAAGTAAAATTACATGTTTTAATGAACATAATTTCTCATTTATAATTGAAAGCTAACTCAGATCTAAAAAAGCGCGCAAAAGCTAGTCGCGTTGGGCGATTAAAAAGCATATAGAAGACAAAAGTTTCTCCAATGGTCTTAATTCGCTTTAATGATTTTTCCAAATTAATTGACTCAAACTATACTGGGCTAGGCGCGCTGACCATCCACAAGAGCAGCAGCAGTAGCAGCCGCTATGACCATTGGGGTGTGCAGCGTGCTCAGAAAGAGTAGAAAAGAGAAAGAGAGAATCATGAGCTAATCCCGTTTGAAAAAGTTATATGTCTCTCGCGCTTGCGATGTGGTGTGTTCGCGCGCGCGCGCGGGCATTCAAAAAACTTTTATTCCGCTGCTTTTTACCGCACAAAGTGCACGCGTGCATATATAGAAAGTGAGAGAGTAAACGTTGGGAAAATAAAACGAATATTTTATTACGGGCCAGTCGCGCGTGCAGAGCGCGCAAAAACGCTTAATTTCCTCGGCGCAGAGTCGGGGCACACACTCACACCCGTGCCACCGAAGCTCTCTCTCGCCCCACCAAGTTCCAGCAAGTTGTATGAGTGCGTATGTGTGTCTATGGTTGTAAGCAAGTGTGTGTGTGTGTGCCTGAGAGAGGAAACGAAAAAGAGAATAGGATGGCGCCTTCGCGCAGACCCCGACACCATCGGCGTAGCGCGAGAGCGAGCAGCGTGCTATGTGCGTGTTAAAAAAGCTTCATGATACACGCGCGCGCGCCTTATATATATGGATAGTCCTGTAAATTACGCGGATTTACGCGCGAGCACACCGTAAATACTGGGTTATCATAACCCGGCGGAAGTGCGCCAGCCGGATCGAGTTCACTCCCCCACTTTTTGCCGCTCGCAGATATTCCATTTTTAACGCCTTCGTGCAGCGGCGGCGCCGGCTAACAAACACACTATAACGACGGCTAAAGCTTTCCATTCATTTTCACCCTGACTATATAATAACCAGGGTTATATGAAACGTAATAGTTCATAACTCGTGGAACTTATTATTGTCACCGATGCCTAAGATCATCAGTGCGAGCCACCAAACGAACACGATTTTTAATCGTTGTGATTAAGCGAATCTTGAAGAGGAAGAGAAAGAGAGAGAGTCCAGTTGCAGAGCCAGCCTCTCTCGGAGAACTATTTCGCGGTGTGAGACAAAAGTATAGTTTATAAGAATGAATTAAGAGTTTTACTATTACTCTCCTATGCCTCTAGCGTGGAACATTTTGCCGATTTAGCGTTATTCTCAGACTCGAGTTGCACTCGAAGAAAATACGTAGTTCTTTCAACGACTTTTTATCGCGTGACGAACAAAAATATTATTCTATTTCCTGTGCTCACCCTCCTAACTCAGCTGCAAATCTAAAGAAAAATATGCCTCATCGCTCGCTTATAAAAAATCTCTAAAAGAGGATAAAAAATTTAATGTAGAAACGTTTCGGTGAAAATGTATAATTTTCATATCGATAGTAGCTGCAGGAATACCTATCCACGACCGGATATAGATAAATCAAGCTTTGATGTAATTTACACCGGGTCGTGACTTCAAGATCGAAACAATGGATAAAGACTCCACGACGCGACAAAACTTATAATTATGTTTGTTCAGAAACGGTATTATGCAATGCATGATGCTGGCAATTAATCTTCAAGATGATTCACTCGGAAGCTTAAGATGCTGGAGATCATAAGTAAGGCAAATGTCCCTATTATGAAACACATCTTATGTATGAACTGAAGAAAAAAATTGTTATTAGAGTTTGAAACTATTCCACCCAGTGTCCGTACTATGAAGCATTTTCCAAGAGTTTCCATAGGGAATGTCCCTATCATAGAACGGGTAAATCAAGTGGCGGTTCTTACCAATGACAAGCCCTAAAATGGTGCAATTTTTTGGGCCCATTTGATAAACTCGTTCTATAGTAAGAATAGCATTGAGATAGTGTTTCATAACGGGGACGTTTACCTAAAACATTTTGCGGGACATATAAATGCGCATAGTCCCCTGCATCTATTTTTTTTCAGTCTCAGATCGCAGTAACTTATTTCTACGTGTTATACACAGTTGGATAGAGTAAAATAAAAATGGCACAATTAAAATTGAAACTGCAGCCTAGTTGTCGACCGCGTCCTCGCTTCCGGCTAGAGCGCTCCGTGCTCGCGACTCCGTCGTGCGGCAGCGCGTCACAGTTGTAGAAAGTCGTAAAGCGCGCCCAACATCGTCGTAGCTATTACTTTGCACGGCACACGATGCAGGCAACGAACTTGTGGAATATATCTCGCGCCTTTTTCTTTCATTCTTTCTTTCACCCCCTGATACAGCCTTCGCGTGTGCAGACACATACCCCAGTGTATACATCCTTATGTGCATGGATGAATTTTGCCAGCGTATACAAAATGCACATTATATACCTATACGTATATATTATTAATTATATCATACTCAGTTGGAAAATGATTTACATGCAAGCTTCATGCAAAAAATGAGAAGAACTTTTTTCGCACAACCTTCAACTGGAGAATAAGAAAATTTAATTGATAAATTTCTAAACTGTATGTAAACGTGTAATGCGACTTTTTGGAAATTGAGGTGACACGTGCACGGTAATTTGTATCAAACTTTCAATTCAGCCTACTCAAGTAAATTAAGAGAAATGAGAGAGAGCTTTTGTTGACTCGTGGACAACAAACTGAGAAAGCCTGTTTGTTTAGGTCATTATTTTTCTAATCCGATGGTCCACATTACGGTTGCGTGTGAAAGGCGCATTGAGAATTTGTAAAAAATCATTTGCCTCTCGTATCAATTGATTTTTTAGGCAACGCCAACCACATTAACCAAGGATAATACGAGCTGTGCGAATTTGTAGGGTTGGGCGGCTATAGCATCGATTGAAATTTGTAGGATTGTCAGTGAAATTCTTATTAATCAATATGCCATCAATAAAATTAATTTTCAGTTTTTTTATCAACACTTTTGATTTATGCATGAACAGTAGACCGGACCGTTTTTCAAAAGTTTTTTATATAGCCTGGGCTCATGATTGAGCTGAAAGTTCAAGGTTTTAGATGAAAAAAGCTGTGCTTGAGAAGTCCAAAAAGTAACGGAAAGAGGTGTCGATAGGTTTTTAAAGTTTAAAAACGTGGGTCAAAATTGAGTAAAGATCGGAAATTGGACGATAGGTTTTCAGTTTTTTTTGTATGACTAAAATTAATTAATAAAACTTGCCAACGAGTACAACTGATTTTATGCACTTCAAAAATTCTACTCAAAAAATTCAACTTCACGGTTGATAAAAGAGCTATGAAATTGCGCCACCGTTAGTTAGTATACCTAGCCTTGTAGACGCAATTGTTTTCAAGTGATTGAAGTCTAGCAATTGCATTTTTAATTATTAATAAATATAATATATCTATTCAAAATTACTCTATCGTAATATTGAAGAGTAATTATAAAAATTAGCATGAAGAAATGACAGTATTTTTCATGAAGAAATTATTCCATAAATCGGAATAATTGTGCAATCGGCAAATGAGATTTTTTACCGAATAATTGATTGCTACATAGTGTAGTTAAGTCATTTTTCTAATTTTTACTTAATAGTTTACTTGATTGTGAATACTTTTTAAAATTGATATCGAATGACAAACATTTAAACGATACTGACCTTGTAACCAGCGAGATCTTTTACGGTGCACGTGAGTATAGCTTCTCTGCCAACAGGTGCCGTCACGTTCATAATTGGCTCCTTGAAATTTGGATCTAAAAAAGAATAACATTACTTATACTGCTGCAATTATACGTATCTGAATATATCTAAATTTCTTATTAATTTTACGCTTCAACATTGAAACGCGGCAATCAATCATTGACATCTCATCAAGTCACTGTCTTATTCATAAAAAATGAACAAAAACCTTACATTGTGCAGATTGATCTCTGAATTTTGCTAGAGAAACAGATTGAAATACAAAACCCGAGCGTCTAAACGGGCAGATTAATCGAAAAGATAAGGAAATATTGTTGTCGTCGTAGCCATTGTGGGTCGTGCAGTACACGTACGCATCGCTTTGACTTAATATAATATAATAGCACGCAGCGCGCCGTCTGCTATTTGCATGGAAATTATAATACATGTATATAACTTACACAATGCCACGTACGTATGTATATGTATATTATATATATGCAAGATGGATCTAGGAGTATTGCGCGTGGAACTAGCATAATAATTCAAAACGCTAAGCATCCATACAACTGGAAGATTAACGAGCGCGAGATCCTAGCTGCGAAATATTCGGAGGAATAAGTTCAAGAAAGCTACCTCGTGAAGATGGCCTTTTCTGACTAGGATAAAGCTGAGAAAGAGAGACGCATGCACGCATGCACACTCTAACGACATCAACAGAAACGTTTCTCTCTCTCTCTCTCTCTCTCTCTCTCTCTCATCAGACAGGGTAGTATATACCTAAGCTTTGTTCCTCGCGCGCGCAGTTAGTTCGCAGAAGTGGTACTCGATGTCGAAAAGGTAAATCTCAAATAGCATTAGAGACTAGCGGATAAAATTAGTTGCAGAGAGAAGAGCTTAGAGTAGTGCCATTTAGCTCGTGGAGAAATGCCGTATACGTGTATATCGTAGTGTCAGCTGGAGCTGGGCAGGAAACTCGAAGATTTCATCTCTCTGCTTCGCTGCTTACGTTGTACATGTGCGCACGTATGTGAGTGCCGTATGTATGTGCATGCGTATGTGTGCACGAGCGCAGCTCTTGACATCACTGATCAAATTCCGTCTGGGGAGCGAATGTGTTTGTAGATTTAAGCTTTCTCTCTCTCTCTCTCTCTCTTGCGACTGCCAAACTACTTTGACGATGATCGTACTCGCACCAAGTTGCGAGCGTGAAAATCTACACATTCATACACACACCTGTATGCTCGGAGCAAAATCGCTAATGTGCTTGCCAAGTATACTACGCGTAAAATGCATCAACACGAGAGCTTTTTCTAATTGCCAAAGATGCTTTCACGAAGACGAAGGCAGTAACGAGACTTACTTATTCCATAACTTCCATATTTGTCTTCTAAGACTAGTGCAAATTTGATTGTAAATAATGCTGGATTCGTAGCTTATTCATTTAACTATATACACCTTGGCACTGATGAAACTCTCTCCCTCTCTCTCTCTCTTTCAACAGCTTCAGTTCTTGGTTTTGCCTCAGCACTTTACCAGTAACACCGTGAAACATGTACAGCTATGTTTGAAAGTTAATTTCGCAAAAGCATGAGATAATTGCAGCTCAGGAGAAGACATGAGTTCTGTCGCTCTTTCACTTTTATTACGTGCGCAAGAGGAACAATGGCTTAGTAACAATCATTAAAGCTACCATCTAGATATGGTCCGTTGACCGCATTTTCAACGATAAGAATTTGAGGAGATATTGGTCTACTTTTACCATCAAGCACTGAGTATTTACAATTAAATCTCCATATACGCATTTAGCGTTTAGAAAACTTGGAACAGCAGTGCGTATGTTATATATGCAAGCACGCATTCGCATACGATTCGAGCATTAATCTTCCATGCCATGCAGTAGTAGTGCAAGCAGGGAGCGAGAGAACGATTCAGGTATAAAAGCTCTGGCTCGCGTGGCCGCGCTACGCTTCATTGCGTGCCGCTTAAACTTACCTCGCTTGTCCCCCCATACATACTGCTACCAGTCGTACGCTTCGCATGGAATATCGTATTATACCGAGAGATGAGAGAAAAAAGTTGAGCGTAATCTCGCATAACGGTTTCAGCTGTACGAACACGAGCCGACATGTCTTGACTGCACTTTCGCTACTCCGCAAAACTATATCTTTTCGATATCTATTTCAAGGGATTATCAGGGATGATCTGTGATCTTTTAAATTTTTTTCCAAAATTAGATTGAAAATTCATTATTCTTTCACGATTTTTTTTATGAAATGAATTTATTCAGAGTTAAGAATTATATTAATGAATGTGCCGGAGAATTGCAATAAAGTTAATAAAGAGCACCTTCTCTCGCGAGTAAAATAAGAATAAATTTTTTAATTAAATACCTGAGTAATTATTATTATTCTCTTACTATGAACAAATTTTACATAACTAAGTAAAAATTGAGACATTAAACTTATAAAAGCAATGAAAATAGAAGCTGAATGCAAGTGATTGAATCCACACTTGAGAAGTTATCCGACTTGATGTTTGACTTTCAAAGTTAACATTTTGCTCAAAGTAAACGCGAGCTTGACATTTTCTTGTTTAGCATCTTTCACTTTAGATTTATCAAACGATGCTAAGATAAATATTCAAAGGCTCATTGTCTTTTATTTAAGGTTTCAGAGCATTCGTTCGTTTCCTCTCTCTCCAAACTTCACCCTATAGTTGTCTGCTTATATGTACAGACCAATATAGCTTCGTTCAAAGCCTGCATTATATTATAAAAAAATTCTTTACTTCGATAGACATTTTTCGAGTTATTTCACAACTTAAGAATTAATTGCATAAGCGAAAATATAGATTGAAAAAACTCGGGTATGAAAAAAATTGTCATCACCGAAATATTACCACTTGGCGCTAACAGCTAGCTATTTCGTATAATTTTCTCGTAAAATGAGAAATTCTACGATTACAGGACACACAAAACATTGTCACTCATTAAATTAACTGAAAGCAGGTTGTTAAAGCAAGTGATTTATGACATTTGAATAGCAAATTGTCAGTCGCATATTTAGCGTAAAAAATATGCTCTCGGTAATTTACATATATAGACATGCACAGCAGATTAAAACTTTTATACCGATGAACTATTTTCATTTTTTTCATTTATTATTGCACCGACGAGTGCATTTGCAACGATGAAAATTCTACGATAAAAGTGCAGAGAGGCATAAAACAAGCGAGGATTTAATAGACAACGTGCTGAACTTTCCATGAACGTCCCCAAGCCTTAAATCTTACTACGTGTCTCGGCCTTTTCGCCAAAGGAATGCCTCAAACGTGCAGCAGGCAGAAAAGAAACAGCGTATTGCCAAGGCAGTAGAGAGTATCGCACGCACAGCTCATAAAAACCACAGGTCTGCTCGCGACGTAGCTGTGTATAGTACATATAGCGGAGTGGCCCTCATATTCATAACAGCGACATATGTACAAAATACACATGGCGTATATATACGGCAGGGGCTAGCTTGGAATTGAACTCGGTCTTGGTTCATACAGTTACAATAGTCTAAGAGCAGTCGTACTTGCACTACATACATATATACATACGCTGACGAAAGAAGTCAAGAAACGGCCAAGATTATCTTGCGGTTGTGATTACTTTGGCTTCTTTCCGAGCTCTTGGCCAGCGTATCGCATTGCTCCGCGCGCACAGTTCGAATCAATATATGTACATGCTGTGAACCTGTATACACTTACACATCCCTACCGTACAAATACGCATAAGCAGTATGCTCGAGTGTATGTAAGTATGCAGTAGCAGAGTTTCTTAGACTCGGGCCATTGCGCGCGTATACTTAGGCCGAAATACGATCAGTTGAGCTCGTAATCACAACAAAAAAATACAGCGTCCATTCTGAGCGAGATGGTTTTTTGTCAACAATAAACGTGCACATTCGTATGCTCGTGATTCAAGAAAAAAATTTTGAGAGATTGAAATGAATCACTTTACACGAGAATAAAATCGAACTTATTAATAAATATCTAAGTTAAACACAATGAGAATATGAAAACATTTATCAACATCAAATCTGCAGAGATTAATCGTCACTATTAAAATATAATCAAAATAACTAAACGACGTAAAGAAAGATCGGCGCAATGATTAGCCGTACGTATATCGTACAAGCAGCACAATTGAATAAAAGCAAAGCCTATCGGACAGGAAAGCACGATATAGAAAAGCTCGCAAACCTTTACCCTCGAAGGTACATTATGTATAATACGGGTTATGCGCAGAACTCGCAGTGAAAGGGTGCAGAAAAATATTTGCATCAATAATAATTCGTGCATGACTCGAGCACGCTAACTCGGAATAATTAGTTTTCTCTGATTGTCGTCGTCGTCATTCCATCCGACGTGCGTATTATATATGTATACGTATCGTATATAGCCGCGGGAGAGCGTCTTGAGTCGCCTCGAAGTGCCGAGAGTTAATCGCCGATATAAAAAGTAGATTAACGTCGTCAGCGCGAGTGACCGTCTGCGCCCGGCTGTATATGGTAAAAAAGAAACAGCATGTCATAAAAATAATGCAGCAGCAGCAGCAGCAGTGGTAGTTGCGCGCTATAGCCGATAATAATTTTAGGCTTTCCCGTTGCGCGCACGTACGTATACGTATGCAGGTAGTATAATGGAAGGCCGCTGCGCTGCCGCCTCGCTGCCAGGCTAGATCATTATTCTTTATCACGATTTCAAGCCGACGAGCGCAAGCGTGTGCGCCTTGAATATATACGTATATATACTAACTCTTACCTTACTCGTAATTGACATTTTGATTTTTCTTTCTTTCTCACTTACACGCGGGGCCGCTGTGCGATGCGAGCTAGGCGTCGGCACCACTGCATGCGCTATAGTGGCGGCTTCGTATTATAAAGATTGGCCGAACTCCCGAGTAATTTGATGGGAATACATACGTAATGCGCGTGCACGAATTGGTGCGCACGACATGCCAGCGCAATGTCCGCGCCATGTAAAGACGTCGTCGATCGTCGAATTGTCCGATCGAGCTGGACGCTAA